CCCACATAATGTAAATATGGTTAAACCAAATATTTCTAAAATAAAGACATTTAAAAGTGCTATAGCAATCTTAGTCTCTGGAATGCTAATATAGTGCTGACAGTGAAATTGTAGAGTCAATTCACTCCCCCTCCCCACCCTGACTGTAGGAACATATGACCCATTAAAACTTCCTTTGCTGTTTGAAAGCAGGAGTTGACTTTACATTTTTAGCAGATTTGCAGACATTATATCAGTGACTAGAGGCTTCTAGCAGTGGAATGCATTCCTTTACAGGCTGGTAATCATAACTGGAGTATAAATGAGGGTGAAAGAGACTCTATGGGCTAGATTCCATATTGAAAAATATATGAACATAAAAACATTTATATTTGATATGGGTACTCAAGGGATTCATTTACCAGTTGACAATAAATGACAACAATGTTCTCAGCCAGTGACTGTGCTTTCTCTACTTGGATATGAGAAGTTAGATGTGGCACAAGGCAAACATTTCATATTGGAGAGGTAATAAGAGCTCATATGTTGCTACATTTCTAATGCACACTCAAATGATATATGAAATATAAAGGTATCTTTAAATATTAATAGTGCCAACAACCCTGGATTTGATACTAGGTCACCATGGCATAAAGGCCCCATATGTAATAAATACTTTATTACCTCACAAACACCTGTAATTTATTTATGGGCTTTATTTCCTTAGACTTAATTTGTAATATAAAATTACAGTTGCAAGAAAAAGTATGTGAACCCTTTGGAATGATATGGATTTCTGCACAAATTGGTCATAAAATGTGATCTGATCATCATCTAAGTCACAACAATAGACAATCACAGTCTGCTTAAACTAATAACACAGAAAGAATGAAATGTTGCCATGTTTTTATTGAACACACCATGTAAACATTCACAGCGTATCGCATATCACTTGATCTATCGGTCTATATTCTTTAGGGGTCCACATGAGGAACTGGGGCATGTCTGGGCCCATTAGGGCGGATTCCAGATCCACCCATCTCCTATCTTCTGGGGGGGGAGTGCCATAGTGCAATTTGCGCCAATTGAGCCACCACGTAGTAAAAATAAAGGTTTGGAAGGCCGAGGCCACCCTACCCTTATCGCTATAAAGTACATTACGGGAGATCCTGTGTTTTTTATTCTGCCAGATGAACTTGCCTATAGCCTGTTGAAGCGGTCCCAAATTAGATTTAGTCACCTGGACCGGAAGAGCTTGAAATAGAAATAGTATCCTGGGTAGCACATTCATTTTCACTGAATGTATTCTTCCGATCCACGAGATCGGTTTATCTACCCACTTCTCCATGTCGTTTATTAGATGTCGAATTAGTGGAGCGTAATTTTGCTGGTATAGTTGGGAGGGATCCTCCGTCAACCATGCCTAAGTATTTGATATGGTCCTTCGCTATACGTATGTGATAAGTCCTCCCTATATACGCCGCCTCCTCTTCCCCCATACCTATGGGGAGTGCACTTGATTTGTGTAAATTGACTTTATAGCCAGCCACCTCGCCATATTCTGCCAGGATCCCAGTCAGAGCCGCCATAGAAACCCTCGGATCCGTTAATGTTAACAATATGTCATCAGCGAAACCCGATATAACGTATTGCTTACCTCCCACGGTAACACCCTTGACATCTGAGGCATCGCGTATTGTTTGCTTAAGGGGTTCCAGCGAAAGAACGAACAGTAGAGGTGAAAGTGAGCATCCTTGTCTCGTGCCATTACTCAGATGGAATGGGATGGTTCGTGCTCCCGAAATCTGGATCTGCGCCCTGACGTTTGAGTACAAGGCCTGAACAGCCGTTACGAACTGGGCTGGCATGCCAAAGTGATTTAATACCTCAAATAGATAGGGCCATTTGACTCTGTCAAATGCCTTTTCGGCATCCAATGATAGCATCAGTGTCGGAGTGCCCTTTGTAGCCTGTCTCCGGAGCTGCATTAAAATCCCCCCCTACTATGATCATTCCATAAGCTTAACTTTTAGAAGTGGTCATGATGGTAGTATATTATGGGTGCAGGTATTCTTCTTGAAACACAGCACATACAGCAATATATTTACTTGTGCAGCTTGGGCTAGTTGCAGCCCAAGCACACGTGACTAGTTCCGGTCTATCTATTATTAATTCTGTACAAACATTACATCTGTGTCAAAGTGGCAACAGATAGTATGAGCCAGTGGGGTACATACCACGGTCGCAGGGGCCGCCCACGACCTGTTACCAGCTGCCACATTTTGCGGCCCCCGGCCTGTGTGGCAAACCGCCGTGCACATCTTTCAAAGGGTTCATCGGGTGGCCCATACTTTCAGAGCCACCCGATGGATATGGATGACATCAGACAGCTGGGAGGAAGTGACTGCCCGGGCACTCCTCCCGACTATCAGAGCCCGCGGGGGAGGAAAAAGGAAGGAGGAAGGAGGAGGAAGGAGGAGGAAGGAGGAGTGAGAACTCTGACTCCCATCAGGCTTGGCCCCCCACTAGACCCCAGGGAAAGTCACAAAAGGTAGGAAACAGGAAACATTTTGTATGTGTCTGTGTCTCTGTATGTGTATGTGTTTGTGTCTATGTCTCTCTATGTGCGTATGTCTGTGTTTCTGTATGTGTGTGTGTGTCTGTATGTATGTGTGTGTGCATGTGTATCTGTATGTGTGTGTGTGTGTTTGTATGTGTGTGTGTCTCTGTCTCTGTGTGTGTGTGTCTGTGTGTCTGTCTGTGTCTCTGTATGTGTGTGTGTCTCTGTATCTGTGTGTCTGTATGTGTGTGTGTGTCTCTGTATCTGTGTATGTGTGTGTGTGTCTGTATCTGTATGTGTGTGTGTGTCTCTGTATCTGTATGTGTGTGTCTCTGTATGTATGTATGTTTGTCTGTGTCAATGTACATGTCTCTGTATGTATGTGTCTGTGTGTGTGTATGTATGTGTGTGTCTGTATGTATGTATGTATGTATGTGTGTGTATGTATGTATGTGTGTGTCTGTCGGGGGGTGTATGTTTGTCTTTCTGTCTGTGTGTTTGTGTGTGTGTCTGTATGTATGTGTCGGGGGTTACCACGGATCAGGGGAGAGAAGGGAGGCAAGGGGGGGGGCCCACGGATCAGTTTCGCACCAGGGCCCCATGGAATGTGTGTACGCCTCTGGTATGAGCTGCTCCCTTTCAAGCTGTACCTGCAAGGGAAACCATGCATCCCTTTCCGTCCCCCCTCCCTCCCTTCTTTCATTTAAGTCCTTCGCCTTACCAGCTTAAAGTGTGTGCATGCGAAAATGATTTTCCTGAGCTTTGCCAGGCACAAAAATCCATTTAAGTTTATGCTTTATTTTACAGGTTTTGTGGGGGGAGAGAAGGGTGGAAGAACTACATTAGAAAAAAATGCTTATAAAGGGTTAGAGTAGCCCTTTAAGTAGCCACCTAGGGCCCAAGGATTAAACAGGGGCCCTAGATCCATGAATGTGCTAGCCCATATTCACCATACAAACCAGTAGTCTGATTAGGTTCCTGGGAGATTTTTATTCTTCTATTGGGGAAGGGCGGATACTGGGGAACCAGAACAATGGAATCATTTGGATTTAAGATTCTGGATGGCCTCTGCTTACTAAACCCTCTATAATTAAACCAATGCAACCACTTCTGTGATAGAAAAGAGTCATGATATATTTCCTAGAAAAAATTTGAATTCTGATCTTGGACTGAGGAGGCTAAGTCTAAGTCAGTGTATATAAATGAGTACAAAGTGAAATATACAGTTATAATAACGAATGTTACAATTAACATAAACTTACTTCATAAAGTTCTTGATTTCTTTACACCATTTTTCAGGCATTTCCTTTCTAAAATATGTCACCCAGGAAAAAGAAAAGGATTTACATTAAACCTATAATAGATTGTTGTTCACTGTTGGCTCTGTAACCAAACTGTACCTCTGTTTTATATTGGTTACTTGTTGATGAAATGATGGCTGTTAGTACAAGTAAAACAAATTATAATCTAAAACGGGCTTTTCGGATTAACCTTTGATCACTATATTATTTAGCCCCAGTTTTAACATAAAACAAATTATTTGTTTATCAAATATTATAAACCACTGACGCACTTAAGTCGTCATGTGCTACTTTTTCTTAACAGTACTACAACAGATTTCACAGCTAGTTTTAGAGTCTGAGAGTCATTTCTGCAGCAGAGCATATTATTATTACTATTATTATTATTATTATTAATATTTATTAAGCGCCAACAAATTTTGTGGTGCTGTACAATGGCATATCATTGTTTTGTAAAGATACTTACTTTACAAGCATGTCCCCGGTTCCCTTTTTCTATGTGTTTTTGGAGTCGCTAGATTCCATTTGGGGTTGAGCACCCCACCCCTCCACTCTATACATCCCTTTTGGAAGAGAACACAAAGAAGCATACATTTGAGGATAGTGTCTGGAAGCGGTTTAGGCAGTAAGTACTGCAGTTAGAGTGTTCATCTACCAGGTTAAAATTAGTGCGGGACCCACTGATATTGGCCATTGTATGGTGTGACCAAATCCCCATATCTATACACTAAGTTAGGTAATATTTAGTAGTCTTGTAAGATTTAAATGTTTGTGCATTTTGTGTAGATACTGTTCCTTTAATCTGTATTTTGATTATATTTTGGTCTTTACATCAGAACCACTAATAAGAAATGCATGTTCTGTGTGTGCCTCCCAGTTCCCTTTTTTACTATTGTTGTATCAATCATTACTGCTTTATTTTATTCTGTAACAATATACTTTTTCATTTTGTATTTCAATTCTGTAATGTAATATTAAAGGAACACTATAGTCACCTAAATTACTTTAGCTAAATAAAGCAGTTTTGGTGTATAGATCATTCCCTTGCAATTTCACTGCTCAATTCACTGTCATTTAGGGGTTAAATCACTTCGTTTCTGTTTATGCAGCCCTAGCCACACCACCCCTGGCTATGATTGACAGAGCCTGCATGAAAAAACGGTTTCACTTTCAAACAGATGTAATTTACCTTAAATAATTGTATCTCAATCTCTAAATTGAACTTTAATCACATACAGGAGGCTCTTGCAGGGTCTAGCAAGCTATTAACATAGCAGGGGGATAAGAAAATCTTAATTAAACAGAACTTGCAATAAAGAAAGCCTAAATAGGGCTCTCTTTACAGGAAGTGTTTATGGAAGGCTGTGCAAGTCACATGCAGGGAGGTGTGACTAGGGTTCATAAACAAAGGGATTTAACTCCTAAATGGCAGAGGACTGAGCAGTGAGGCTGCAGGGGCATGTTCTATACACCAAAACTGCTTCACTAAGCTAAAGTTGTTCAGGTGACTATAGTGTCCCTTTAACCTTTATATGAATATTGTTTCCACTGTACAATAAGTTAATGAAATATTAAGTCTATATTTTTATGAATGCTGTACTTATTATCAGCAAATTCGACCACTATAGCAATATAACGATGTGCATTTGTTTGCTGTCTTCTCTAATTGTAATTTGCTAGCCAATGGCAGTGCATCTACATCCTAATATTCCATTTTGTGCCTCTACAAGTTTGGTACATGTTAACTGTATGTAAACTGTATGTCTTCAGTCAATAACTCTGAAGTCTCTTTTCAAATTTGATCAGCCTACACTAGGAATGTGAATATTTTCCAGTCATGATCGAACACTAATGAAGAAACAAAAAATATCATAATTCATTATACAAGAGATTCATTTTCATTGTTTGATTGAACATTAAAGGTTCTCACACCTAGAATTAAGACCATAAACATTTTGGAAGGGCCTTATAAAGAAACGATGCCTGCTTTCCGATGGGAAATCATTGTGATTGGCTGAGACCATCACTTCTAATGATGTCAGCCAAGGAGGCAGATCAGTACCAGCAGACTGGAATAAAAATAAGATTTTACTATATATAGAGGGGGCAGGTGGGCTAGATGTTGTTTTTAACACAATGGTGTCAGGAATACATGTTTGTGTTCCTGACCATATAGCGTTCCTTTAAATACGGGCAGAATTAGAAAACCACAGTAGTAGTATTATCATCAGCAATTACTGCATTGTTTGTGGAATGGTGTGACCTTACAATCATTTCAACTGTGAATTGTTGTCTCCTCCGTCATTTGAGCTATTAAGTTTCCCTCAGGTCTCCTTTATTCTGCCATGTTTATGAATGTGATATAAAGGTGGAAGGGCCTAAGTAAGTGCAGGATCTTAGCTTTGTAACACAGTTCATAGTCCGCCCAAATGTGCAGTAGTTGCTAGAACAATGGTAGACAACCTTCAGCACTCCAGATGTTGTAGACTACAGCTCCCATAATGCTCTTACAATCATATTGTTGGCATTCAGTGACATAAGAAATAGAGAAATACTTTACTGCAATTTTTCTGCCAAATGCATAACTGTACTGTAATCACTGGTAAGACCAGACATTACTGTGCAATTCTAGGCACCTGTTCTAAAGTAGAATATTATGGCACTAGTAAAAGTCCAGAGGCGGGCAACAAAATTAATAAAATGAATGGAATGGTAAGGTTAACTAATTTAAATCTGCTTTGTTTAGCAAGACTAAGCGGGGAAATGATAGCATCATAAAAATATATTCCAGACTAGTACAAACCATTGCCTGGATTCTATTCAGAGACAGGACTATACATAGGACACGAGGTCATGCATTTAGACTGGAAGAAAGGAGATCTAGCCTAAGGCAAATTAAAGTGTGTTTTACAATGAGAACATGAAGGATGTGGAATTCTCTGCCTGAAGTGGTGGCAACTGGATGAATACTTGCAAAAACATAGTCTATGAGAAATAATTTTTTACTTGTGGGGTAACAACTTCTTGATCAAATGAGAGATCTGACTGCCATTATGGAGAAAATAAGGACATTTTCCTAGCTTGCTGCATAATTAAAAAGCGCTTCAGACTGGATAATTATTGGAAGGAGCTGCTGTTTAGGGAACTTCGTACCCCAGGCAATTTCCCAAGATGTTATCTGACATGTTAGTCTGCAGCATTTAAGGCCTTTTCATATCAACAATTAGATAACAAAATACAATGCGCTCTTGAGAAGGCTTACACTCCGCTTTGCAGGCTGCTAACAGTATAACCTTCGTGATTGACATTGATGTCATATATGCTGCTTGTCAAGAAGCTCTGGGCTTCTCACATATCAAAACATAGCAGTCTGTGTATGTTGACCTTGGGAACATGAACAATCTAGTTGTCATTTACTTACAGAAAAAATAGACACAAACAACATCAAAGGAACTGACATACTTGAGAAACAGTAAAGACTTTTTTTGTTGGATTAGGCAGATGTAAAAAGTATGATTGGCATTACCATTTTGATTTATTATGACAAACTCTTACAGCTGTTTTACATGCTTAAATACTATCAAAGGGAATGATTTTTTTCCCCCATATACCTCGACACTTACTTTAAAAGAACATTCGAAAATATCCCAGGAGTGGTGGCTAAGATAGCATGAAGCTTAAGGTAATGTATACTCTTATAGACATTTAAATTGCATGAGTTATTGAGCAGTCAGTAGAAGACCCCAAAATGCTACAATGTATATGTAATAGATACAGATGAAAGTCTATGTGGGCTATGATGCCGTTGCACGTGGAGCATTGTGTTGGTTGAAAAGATGGGGGTGGGAGGGTGGGGGGGAATTACCTTTCTGCAATACATGAGGTTTCATTAAAAAATGGCTAAGGAAATAAAATCCTCTCCATAAATATTTGCAGGGACTGTTAATTTAATTCAAAATATTGTTTTTTTGAATAATGTTTTTTCAATAGTGTTACAAGGATTTGCTGGCAGTATATCTTTCATTCAGGTTTATTAAAAATAAAAACATTTCAGAAAAACTAAAAAAAATGCTAATCTTTAGATCATCAGTCAATTAACAGGAAGATAGTCAGTTTACAGACATTTTAAATAACACCCTGGGTTATTCTGTGCAGTACATTATTCTAGACTGCGACCACTTCACCTCTAATGATTATTCTCTGTATTATGCACAAGCCAGCTACTGTGAAATTGATTCACTAAACACTCAAAGTCAATTTAAAATAAATTGCAAATTGTAGCCAGCAATGTGTGAGTCAAATTGGGTAATAAATACAAATCACATTTTATCTAAATTTTGCAATTCGGTTTTCAATTCACCAAAATTCATTCTTTATTTAATCCTTTTATATATAGGTAAAAGGTTCCTGAATTACACATAGAAAAATGGGTGGCCGGCGATGACGTGATACACACGCTACCACGTCGTGAGCATCCGTTTAGTGATGCAGGGAGGATAGCGTTTGTAAGGGGCTGTCAGAAGAGAGGGTGCGGGTGTCGATCCATGCTTGCTGGTGAGGAAATAACTCTGTCCGAAGAGCGAGTCCAAATCTGAGCTGGAGAGAGCTGGACATAGGACAGAGGTTAAGGAGTCTGTTGTGGGCTGCCTGCCAGCAGGGCCGGCGCTTCCTATAAGGCGAACTAGGCAGCCGCCAAGGGAGTCATATAGGAGGGGGCGCCCTGCGCCCCCATCGCCGGCCCTTTAAATGCCACAGCCGCCTGAGCGCTCTATAGAGAGTACTCAGATGGCTGCTGCACTGCCTCACCTCCCCTTCCCTGTAGCGTGGCCGAGGGAGGGGGGGGAGAAGATTATAGGGAGGGGGAGAAGATTATAGGGGAGAAGATTATAGGGGGGAGAAGATTATAGGAGGGAGAAGATTATGGGGGAGAAGATTATAGGAAGATTATAGGGAGAAGATTATATTATAGGGGAGAAGATTATGGGGAGAAGATTATAGGAAGATTATAGGGAGGGGAAGAAGAGAAGATTACAGGGGAGAGAAGAAGAAACAGAGGGTGGGAGATGAGAACGTAGGGGAGGGAGAGACCACTAAAGGAGGGAGGGGGCGGTGGAGAGACCACTAGGGGAGGGGTGTGAGGAGAGACCGCTAAGGGAGGGGGGTGGAGGATAGACCACTAGGGGAGGGTGGGGGGAGAGGAGAGACCACTAATGGAAAGTCGGGGAGAAAAGGAGACCACTAAGGGAGATGGGGGGGAGAGGAGAGACCTCTAAGGGGCAGGGGAGATCTCTTAGGAATGGAAGGGAGAGCTCTATAGGACAGGGGGCAGGACAAGGAGCTCTTTCACACCACGCGCACACACACACACACAATGCATCCCTATACACACAGAAACACAACATGCTTCCCTTACACACAGAGAAACACACAATGCAACCCTTACACACAAACACTCACGGCTTTCTACCCTTTACACAAAAACACACTGCTTCCACTACACACAAACACACTGCATCACCTACACAAACTGGTATCCCTATACACTACATTCCATAAGCACACACATTAGATCCTCTACAGTAACACATAACACATCCCCTACACATTCTACTCCCTGTGAGCGAACTCATGGGTGGAACATGTATGTGGACTTTATGGGCATACTCACCGTCAGGCCCTGGGGCCCAGACCTTGAGCTATGTAAGAGGCCCCAAAAATGGAGCTGCTTCCTGTTCTCCCAGAACATTGAATTTTGTGACCACAGTTACAAACAGCCTCCAGAGATCCTGTTCTACACCAGACCAGTGGAGCCAGACTGCAGCCAGAGCCCATCACCATCCTCATCTGATTGTAAGTAGGCAATCTAGTATATTATTAATGACACTAATCTCTAATTTACCTCACATTAAATGGACACTATAGTCCCCAGAACCACTGCAGCTTAATAAAGTTGTTCTGGTGTCTATAGTTTGTCCCTGCAGGCTTTTTAATGTAAACACACACTGTGTGCAGCACTGGCACTAGTTCATATGGCAGATCATATGGGTGTGGCATTGCGATGTCCCGGGGGGGGGGTGGGGGGAGGAAATCTTTCTTTTGCCTAGGGCAGGAAAAATCCTTGCACCGGCCCTGCCTGCCAGAGGGAATCGGTTTGAGACACCACTGTTGAGAGCTGGGAGTTTCGGCTACCACAAAAGCATTTGGAGTCAGAGCAAGTTAAGTTATCTATTTAGCCTGGTTGTTGATGTTTAACAAATTTTGTACATCATATTGGCTAAGTAACAACATAAAGAGACTTCCTTACCTATAATTAAGTACAGCTGAGCTGAATCCCAGCGTGTTATGAGCAATTGCTCAGCATAATTGGCATATATCAGGTGCCTGAATTTGTGGTTCACTTTACATTTTGTCTAAGTTTTTCTGTTTTTTTTTTTTGCTGATTGGCTGAGCATATTAGGAGTCCACTCTATTTTAAAAAAATTTGGGGATGAGAATACTAGGAGCACCTGGGAGTACTGGGAGCACCTCAATATAATTAAAGCTACATAATCAATCAGGTGTTTGAACTACCTCCTATCACACAAATGAATTAGCCATAGCTATTGAAGGGAGAATGTTAGCTTAATTGCTATTCTTTATACACTTATTAAGTGACAAGCCTCATTTTCTACAAATTAATCAAGTTCAAGAGTGATCTTTTTCAAGACAGTTTTTTTTTTTTTCCAAGACGGATCCAACTCCATACTGTGCACTACTTATTCGAAGCTGCTGTTTCCTTCTATAAACTGAGGGATGGCTATCTAGATATTTTGCCCTTTCCTTCTTTTTCTAAGCTCACCAATCAAAATGGCAACCAAAAAAAATGACCTCAAATAAGGAGCAAAATAAAATAGACAAAAGAAAACTGATCCCAAAGCTGATAAACGCCCTTCCAACTTTTTCTCGCCCTTGCAAAACAAAACAGAAAGAAGATTGAGCCAGCACAAAATACAAAGTTACAGTAATGAACAAAGTGACACAGTATTAACATTGGAGAAGATAAGTGGCAAAGAAGGTCTAGAGGTTTCTTCAAAAGAACTCAAATTCTTTGACCAAGAGCATCTGAATGTCTGCTTTGATTTCCAACTATCCAAAATTAAGAAGGAGATTCACACTTTAACAGATGAATTCAAAGGAGAACTGATGAACATGACTACTAAAATTCAATGTTTGGAAGAGAAGTTAGAAAACTCAATATCACAATTTAATTCACAACAAGATAAGATCTCAGGGATAGAACTGAAGTTGGAATATCTAGAAACTTAGTTAGCAGACTATGAAGACAGAGCCCGACGTAATAATATAAGAATCAGAGGTATCCCTGAAAATACCACTAAGAATTTGGAGAAGTATATGGAAGTACTTGTTATATTTCTAGTTATGAAATGGGACAGTAAGGATAATCTCATTGAAAGAATTCATAGGATATATAAACCTACATCATTCCCGGCTCAAGTGTCAAGAGATGTTATAGCTTGTCTACACTCATTCAAATTTAAGTCTGCTATGGTAACAGCTTGGAGACAAAAATCCGTGAAAGGCTCTAAATACGAATCACTAATGATATTCAATGACTTATCTGCTGGGGCCGGGAACTAATTTGGGCTTTTCATGCCCAAACCATGACATTGAGAAAAAATTAGATAAGCTAAAATTTTCAGCAGGATGAAGATTTAAATATAAAGAAAGTCTGAATTCTTTAACCCCCTTCCCCCCCCCCCCTCACTCCAGCAATGGCTGCACTCTAATAATCTGGAGTAATAACTTACTTATTTTCTACCTTTTTAATTTTTTTTTTATTTCCCCCAGTGCCTCCCCTCTTCCCATCTGTCCTCTCCGCTTGGGATCTGCTTTGAGATGGATGGGGGGATACGGAGCCATGGGGGGAACCTAATATTTTTGATGTTTATTGGTGATTGAAAAAGCTGTTCCCATACAGTGAAATGCTTCCGGGACAAGACGGTCTGCAGAAATCCTTTTAACTAATGTGTAATGTGTATTTATATTATTTGATTTTATTGTCACCTAAGTACACGCAGGCAAAAGTGATCTGAGCCTGGTGTTATGGAGACAGGCTCAGGTACTGTACAGTGGTGTTGTGGAGACAGGCTCAGGCACTGAGGGTAGTGGTATTGTGGAGACAGGCTCAGGCACAGAGGGTAGTGGTGTTGTGGAGACAGGCTCAGGCACCGAATGTAGTGGTGTTGTGGAGACATTCTCAGACACCGAGTGTAGTGGTATTATGGAGACAGGATTGCAGACTATGATGAGGCATAATAGAAAGCAGTTGTTGTTGGGAGTTTCTATCATAAGAGGTGTGGAGATGGACAATGGTGGTCTTGTGAGATGTCTTCCCGGAGCTACTGCTCACAGAGACAGGAGACGTATCTGTAATATTGTTAAGCGAGCAAAGCAGGAAGGGGAATTGGATGTACTTGTCCATCTAGGGACAAATGACTTGGCTTGCAATAAGGTTTCAGAGGTAAAGGAAGTTTCTAGTGTTTTTGAGAATGATAAATGGCAGGTTGCTTCCACACTGTCATTCTCTGAAGTTCTGCCTGTGCATAACATTTAGAACGACAGGCGGATGCGTATTAGGGACTTTAACTTGTGGCTTGGTGAATGGTGTCGGGAGCAAGGATTTGGCTTCATTTCTCATGGTAGCTCTGTTGGGAATGGAAATAAACTGTACAAAAAAGATGGTTTGCATCTTTTTCAAAAGGGAACAAATGATCTCAGTGAGCAGTTGAGAGGTTTTGCTAGGATGTATTTAAACTAGGAGGGGGGGGCAAAATGGTGATAAAACATCAATCCAATTGCCCCGCAAAACAAGAACAGAAGGTGCCTGTAGCAAGTGTGTTAAAAAATGAAAAGCTTAGAGTCATGTCTACAAATGCTCACAGTTTAGGGAATAAGATCCATGAACTTGTGGCAATAATGGCAACTGATAGTGTAGATTTAGTCGCTGTTACTGAGACATGGTATAATGAGAAAAATGGGACATAGCAATACCAGGGTACTCTTTATATAGAAAAGATAAGGAAGGCAAGAAAGGGGGAGGGTGGCCCTGTATGTAAAGGATAGCATAAAATCTAGCCTGATAAAAGTTAGTGAGGCGAACATAGAGTCCGTTTGGGTTACGTTAGAATTTGGTAATCACACAGTAACTCGTGTAGGTGTGATTTATAGGCCCCAGGACAAATACAAGAGTTAGATAATATACTAATAAAACAATGCAGGATCTAATTCAGAGGTCTCCACGTTGACCGGTGAAACAGTGCCCAAAAAGGCTCTATAATTACTCTCCTAAGATGGGGAATAACCCACAAATAATAATAGAAAGAACAGGAATTGGGACAAGAAAAGTCCTAGACAGGAGAGTAATGTGAGGGAAGGGGGTCCCTACCTTTAATAATCCTAAAGGAAAAACAGAATTAAAATTGAAATAGGACTGTCCTATTTCAATTTTAATTCTGTTTTTCCTTTAGGATTATTAAAGGTAGGGATCCCCTTCCCTCACATTACTCTCCTGTCTAGGACTTTTCTAGTCCCAATTCCTGTTCTAGATAATATACTAGTTTAGCAAATAGCTAAAATGACAAAGAAGGGGGAAGTTATCATCATGGGTGACTTTTATCTTGAACTGGAACTGGAAAACCAAAATAGCTGCTTGTGCCAGGAGCACACATATTCTAAACTCCCTACTGGGATTGTCTCTAAAACAAGTCATGGAGAAGCCAACTCGTAAGGAGGCCATACTAGATTTAGTGTTAACAAACAGAGATTTGGAATCAGATATTACTGTAGGTGAAAGTTTAGGATCCAGTGATCATCAGTCAGTGTGGTTTAATATAAGAACAGTGACTGAGTCACACCACACAAAAACAAAAGTTTTAGACTTTAGAAAAAAGACTTTTCTAAAATTATAATATGTGTAAAGGAGTCATTATCAGACTAGAGAAATTTAAATAGAGTCCAAGAAAAATGGGATTATTTAAAAGTTCCACTGCTGAAGGCAACAGAAAATTGCATTAGGCTTGTCAGTAAAAGCAAAACATTCAAGAAACCACTGTGGTACTCTGCAGATGTGGCCTAAATAGTAAAAAACAAAAAGTTAGCATATAGTAATTATAAAAAAAAGGATAGGATAGGATTGTTGAACATCTAAAATCACATGGATTTCAAGATCAGAGACAACATGGGTTTACATCAGGGAGATCATGCCAAACTAATCTTATTGATTTTTTTGATTGGGTAACTAAAATAGTAGATCAGGGTGGTGCAGTAGACATTGCTTACCTAGATTTCAGTAAGACTTTTGACACATAGAAGGCTTATCAATAAACTGCAATCTTTAAATTTGGATTCCAATATTGTTGAATGGGTAAGGCAGTGGCTGAGTGACAGGCAACAGAGGGTTGTAGTCAATGGAGTATATTCGAAGCATGTGCTTCTCACCAGTGAGGTACCTCAGGGATCTGTTCTTGGACCCATTCTCTTTTTAATATTTTTATTAGTGATATTGCAGAAGGTCTTGATGGTAAGGTATGTCTTTTTGCTGATGATGCTAAGATATGTAACAGGGTTGGTGTTCCAGGAGGAATAAGCCAAATGGCAAATAATTTAGGTAAACTAGAAAAATGGACAGCTGCCTAAAACCTGTTTATTCAGAACTGCGGAGAGCAACTTATATGTTACCGTATCATGATTATAATAACGTGAATCATGGTGTGTCTGGTATTTCACTTTTACGTCTACATCTAGCAATACCATCTGTCATGATAACAAGCCTTAGAATTAATTCTGAGATAGCAACTAATATTCACCACTTTTAAACAAATTTGGGATCCAACTATTTTAGCCTGCTCCATATCAGTTTGTTCTAATAATGAGAAAGTAACTGCTTGTACCTTCCACTTCCACACATTCTAGTAACAGGATATTTTGTTAGAAAGGACAGAATCCTATTAATTGTTCCGTCAAAACAATCACCCATTCTCCATCAAGGCCACAATCTTGTCTACATTTCATCATGCAGTGCTTTGATGTTGTCCTTTAGGCTTATTTCCACTGATATTTGCAAATATATGTTGTTCTTGATTATGTTTTTATTTATTTGTATTGTTTTTCTCTTTTTAGGTTTTATAGTATTTGATGCAAAATTTCTTTCAATATATATCTACCTCTCGGACATTTTTTTTACCTGACATTGATTATTTCAGTTTCTTTTCACGTTTGCCACTTTTTATGTCTTCACTGGTTACACAGTTACTCACTTTTCCATTATACTCATGCACTATACAGGAACTAAGACCTATTGTGACAGACATCTTAAGTCAACTAGAGGATAAAAACCAACAAAAATAAAGAAAGTTTGTCAAAATTGGTTAAGTATGATCATAAATATAAAGTTGTTTTTTTTACAGAAATAGAGTCATGGATTATTTCTGTATCAGTATGTATAAGCAAGACCCATTATCCTTTCTGTATCGCTAAATATAATCAGCGCTCACTACCCTTTATGCTTCCGTATGCATAAGCACACTCACTACCTTTTTGTATCAAAATGTATAATCAGGGCTTATTGCTCCATCTGGATCAGTGTGCATAAGCAGGGCCCAATACCTCTTCTGGATCACTGCATATAAAGCAGGGTCCATAGTCCTTCCATAGGCACCACCCACCAAGTCTTCTATATTATAATGTGAATATATATGCTTTAAATTGTATTCATTGTCAATAAATTTATGTATTGTAAATTTATAGAAATAATAACAGCATAATATCAGTTAGCAAGCTTGCAATCCAAAACCAAGGGTATACTACAAACAAGAAAACTACACAAAATCTAAATGCACAAATCAATTAATTTATGCTTTTTCTGCTGAATAACTAAAACGTTTTATTTTTGTTTTTAAAATCAGATCAAGGTTCTCAATTAATATTTTGATTACGCACTGCTTTAGAGACAATGGGGTATGTGTAATTGCTTAAGTAACACATGCCTAGGCTTAAGGTGCATTTATCTTAGACATCAATGTCATCCCTGAACTTGTGATCTATTTACCTGAATGGCTATAGCCCCAGGGCCTTTATGAGCGAGTCGTGCAGGTGTCCTACCTGCTATCTAAGGCAGTCATTATGAGGACAGCTTCACTGATTTATAGATCTATGAACAAATGAGACGGATAATGTTGGGGATATTTAACTCTTGAGTTTTCATGTTCATTAGGCCTTAAGCAATCCTCTGACAGCTTCCAGATGCCTCTATAGCTCCTGATTAAAATATATTAAGTATTTTACTGTGGAGTATGTCATAGAAATTAAATTAAATGTCTCTCCCTTCTGCCTACGTCTCTGTTCATCATCCCCATTTTCCCTTGCACCATGACTCTCTATTGGTGGTGTTGGCTAATATAGAAATTTGTGGTGTAGGGAAATAGTTCCTTTATTTCAGGTATATATGCTGACTGTGCATGACATGATTTCAGACTAATTTTCTTAACCTCAATGGAAGTGAAAACTGGCAATATTTTTGTTTTTTGGTTCTTTCCACACTTGTTTTATCTTTCCCTGGACTATTTCTTTCAAGTATGATCCCAGGCTCTGCTAATACCAAAATAAAAATGAAAAGTGGAGTCAAAACGGAGGCTGTAGCAGAGAGCAATGGTAGCAGGGATTATTCTCCACTGGTCACTCCAACAGCTACTCAGGAACATGCAGGTTACTTCATAACAGCAGGCAGAAAATACAAGAGGTTATACGAATATCCCATCACCCTTCCCAATAACTGGACGACACTCAGTATTAGGAACAGAACTGAGCTATTAATGGCCAGGCTGGCCTTTTATGCAAGTTTTGCCCCAAAGGTTACCACCCAGATGGACCTTGTGGGGCACCGATAAAAATATACAGAAACCAGTTAATTTACAAGACACTCCCATAAACTGTATACAATCCCTCCCCTCTGCTCAGGGGATAATTGAGTTAATCACTGTATCAACTCAATTATCCCAAAACAGAAAAATCATACTTTTCAAATTTTTCTGAAAACACCACAGAACATATAATAATTCCAACATCCTCTGATAGTCCCGATCTAGGGGAGCAACATACTGAAAAATTACCCAGATCGGTTCAGGGGTTCGAAAGTTTTATGGAGGTCTTAGTTTTACCGACCGCACACGATGTGTAAGCCGAAAATAGTTCCATGCGTTTTGCCCGTGCGGTCGGTCTCCATTCGTGAGGTTGAAATGCACAAAAATGTATAACAGAATGGGTTGTGTCTTTGTTCGTATGATTCCCCTCATTCGTATGACTCTTCATCGAACGCCACTCTGTACCCTTGTTTTCCCATGAACTCATGTGATGAGGGAAGTCTCTGCGGTGTTTGTGCAGTCGCGTGTCCGATTTGGGTTCCAGACACTCGACGACCAAACACCACTGGCGCATTCGTATGTCGAACGGCGGCCACCCAGGAAATACCTAGTTAGTTTGTGCGGTTGGCAATTAAGGTAGTGTGAATAACATTAGGGAGGTCAATTAGTGTCACGCTCCTCTTCTGGGTGGCCTGGTTGTTCGGTAGTTTGTTCGTTTGTCGAACAATATGGCTTAACATAGTGGGAATATGATTCTACCGAACAACCAGACGAATGATATAAAAGACAGTTTGTTGCTTGTTCCTATAAGTAATGAACAGTTGAAATCCAAATAAAATAAAGCAACAAAAAGGGTTATGGACAGCCAATAATATAAAAGGTGGATAGTAGCAAAACCCATTCCGCTAAAGAGGCATCCATTGCACTTTGGATATTGTAGAGACACATGAGTAATTCAACATTTAGAACAAGCTCACCATGAAGTCATTCTCTAATAAATCGCCATTTTGCTTATTTAGTAGGTTTATTTAAATTTCCCTGAAAATCTACTAAATAAGCAAAATAAACAAACATTCCTGGGGATTGTGGTGCAGTTGGTGAATGTATAGAACCAGGTATTTCTTATTTAATGTTTGGATAGGATGATTATTATTCACACATTAGGTAGTTATGCAGTCCATAGTCATATGTTTTGAAGGTATTTCATTTCCCAAACTTTTATTTACAAATTGGAAATTATTTAAAGGTGTCAAATTCAATAAAAGCAGCAAAAACACATTGCACAAAATAACGAGATGTTAACAAATATCTAAACTTAAATATAATAAAAAAACATTTTCTAGAAAACATCACAGCAATTCAAGAAATAGACCAAAAAAGTATAGATTAGAGACTCCAGTAGTAGTAAAAATGACAGATGTTATTTCAAGAATAGAAATTCTAATTCGCTTACACTTCTCCCACACATAGTATATTTTTCCATTAAAAAGAACCTGGAAAATATACTATTCATTAGCGAAGTGTAAGTGTATTCTATGGACCACGCTTGATATAGTTTATGTCATTTTTATTACCATTTTTGCCTTTAGTCTACATATACAGGTGATATCGTGCAAAAGGTAATTTATTTCAGTAATGCAACGTATAAGGGGAAACTAATATAT